TTTCCCTTTTAATTCATTATTACTAATTAGCTAAAAGCAAATGAATGATTAAGTTGTTCCCGATCTTTTTGAACATTTCTCATTTGACTTTCTTCATCAACTTTAGCATCCAACCTTGTTAATTAATATGAAAAACCATTTTGATCAAATCTTTTTGAAATTATGTTTACACGCTGTGCGGAAAGTTTTAGCCATATAATTTGAGGTGAATTATTACAAGATGTATCACGTGACTGTATTACCGTAGTATTTTATAATCATTCTGCATAATAGAGATTAGCTAGTATAAAAATCTGGGATTAATTCGCTTAAGTCATCGGCATTATTACACTTTCCAAATTAATATTTTTTTAATGCAAAAAGTCGTCTTGCTCTTATGCTAATAGACTCAAGAAAACAGCAAGATCTAACCTAAATATATTTCTCTGTTATTGGTTTGTCGGTAACAGCAAAACACAATACTATGAAAGAAAAAAAAAGTGTTACATTACATGCCAAATTAAACTAAATTATTCCATTCAAAATACAGGAGCGACTGTATCATTAATGGCATGTGCTGATCACATGCCCTGCAATTATAAGTCATTTTCCCTTTAACAGAAAGCATGGAGAAGCTCCTTCCATTATTTGAGCTTTTCCCATTTTTATACAAACCACGAGCCATGTGCGACAGCCGCATGAGAAACTCACAAAGCACTTTCAAATTATTAGGGTTTCCAATGTCATAGTCTTTTTTTTTCTTAATAAAGAGATACTGAAAAAAAAAAAAAAAAAAAGGGAATTAAAACGCATTATTTTTTTCATTTTTTTGCTAAAGAAAAGTTTAGGGGAAGATTGATTACTTTCACCACCAGCGCCACGACAGATCCACAACCTCGAGCCAGAAGAACTTACGCATGACACCCAACTGTCAGCTGCCATCGGTATGAATTTATATAAGAAATTACAGATTGCGCACCAATGAAAACTACTAGCAACGGGACTTGAATACTGATGGGCTATATACAGTGCATGGACCTTACCAACTAAACCAACCCTCGTCGGCAAACACAGGACATTCGGTACATGAATAACTACTCTTAATCACTTGACCTATATCACAGCCTTCTTGAATGGTCTAATTAACCAAAATCAGAGTCCAATTTTAACATGAACGAGATGAAAATTAAATCTTTATCTTAGAATAACAATGTAATTTGAAACGAGAGAACATCTTCTATTGAACAAAATGGAAGTTTAACTTCTAGGGTTCACATTTTGCTTCTCGACTTTTCCATAGAGTTTTATTTTACAGATGATTTGTTTCCTAGCTAGGGCATGTGTCTCCAGTCAGGGTGACTGTGGAGTAGTGTCACCGACACAAACGGTGGGGCCCAGGGCCACAAAAGGTGGGGCCACGGCGGGGGAAGGCATAAAGGGTTACCAGAAAGTCAGTCCAATGGCCAATTGGCAACCCCCCGTTGTCTGAAAAAGCTTGCAGCAATGCTAATGTTGCTAGTTGTCCAGGACTTGAAAACGCGTTTTTGTACATATTGGGTCAGAAACTACGTTAAGACAAATGGATTTTGATTGTCTTTTAACCTAAAAGACAAAGCCCAGTGAGATCCAAGCCGTCTACATGGGCCCAATCACTTCCCCATGGGGCCCTCCCCCATCATCTCAAGGCCTGCACAAATGGACGGCTGAGTTTTACTTGCTCTGTCTCTGCCCTTTGGCATTTTAAAACAGCTTTCGTTGTTCAATTACACCACCGTGAAAAACAATGATAGAAAAATTCGTCTGGTAGCAAGGTTTGTGTTCTGGCGGACACTGATTTGAAAATTGGTTTTCAATGGTATAGCCAAACAAGCCCTCAATTATTTATTCATATGAGATTATGAAGGGAAGAAAATCTGTGTGTTTTTCAAAACTAGAGATCATGGTTAGTGAGATTTCCACTCTTGTTTAACAAAATAACTTGTTTCAGCTCAAATGGTTTGGCAGAACAAGTATGAACTAGGTTGGTCAACTTGTGGAAACATGCCTAAAACTCAAAGGAAGATGACAAATATGAGTCTGATATCCGAATTCGATCTTCATCTGCTCTCTTTATATTATATAAAAGACCATAAACATTCATTTAATAAAGTGGACTAAGCAATCAAATATTCATTAGTTAGATTAATCTTGTAGATGGTCATACACTCATGGTATTAGACCAACTCACTGACGCGGTTTGTTTGGCAGATCGATGGCAACAATTGGATCCACGTCTCTTTTTCGTAGTTACCTTCTCTCAATGATTGGTTCGTACGTACTTAGTTGAAATTGCTTTTTGTGCTTTTCACTTGTGTGTTCGTTTGACAGAGGGGCTTTCACTTATTTTAAGGGAAAAAGTCACAACACAAATGAGATATATAGCCTGATTATTTAAAATAATATAGAAAAAAAGATATTGGTTTTAGTTTTCATTTTTCAATCAAACCAATCAATTCCGAACTTTTTTATTTGGTTAAAAATTCTAGGGCAACATCAAACTTACAAGGTTATCAAAAATTTAGTGGAAGCAGCATAACTTATCACAATTTTCAACAACTAAAGAGCTAAGGAAAGGGCCGAGCCTAGTAGTGTGGGCTTGTAAATAAGTAAGGCATTAAAGTGATTGGTTGCTTAGTTGAAACATTCTAGAGTGAGGCATAGTGGTGTTAGGGTATTTACCCAAACCTTAATCTTGGTGGTGAAGTCGCACAAAGCACGACCCTTACCCTTGGGGCTAGTGGGGTCCCCCAACCACAAAGGTTGGGTAGCAAACCTCAAAGAGCCAAGGAAAGGAACAGTATATAATTTGCTCTGTGGTGCCACTGCCAGTAAGATCAATTCAAAGGAGTTATAATGGAGATCTGAATTATCATCCTGTCCCGTCGTTATTTTCATAACCCATTCATCATTGCAAAACAACATCACATGTGTGTCTCACGCACACAATATCCGTACTACAACGCCCAACATTAACATATGCTTGCTTTTGTTTTTTTTTTTTTGGCCAAACGTATATGCTTTCTCTACCTGCATTGCACCTCTTCCAGCATTGAGAGACTGAGCAGTACCAATAAATCAAGAGCTAGTTAAACATATTTTTCTTTTTAGTTAACGGAAGATTAACCAGCTTTCTATCCCCGTCATCCATCCGAAATACAGTAAAAAGAAAGAAACCATTTCACCTACTAACCCAATTGAATTGAAAATGACACTAAGCGGCTCTCACATCATTTCAAAGTAGAAAATGGAGATTATTAGAGATGCTTGATACTTTCCCTTTGTGTGGCCAAGCAAAGTGTGGCTCTCACATCATTCAAATCAGTTTAAAACGCAAAGGAATATAAACAACACTGCTTGTTCCACTACCTAAGGACACAACTTCACAAAGTCAGGCCGGGAGTGTACCACAATAATCTGATTCTATTTTCTCTTTTCTTCCTTCCATGAGATATCGAGCAAAGTAACGTCCCCGTTATGCTAGTTTTCTTTGTAGAAGAGGGGTAAAACCAAAGGGAAGAGAGAACATGAACAATAGA